AACACAAAACTCGCAAACGCCCTCAGCTAAACCATCCAGTGGCACCTACGGTACCGCCTGGCTGGAGCACAGTACACCTGATGGGAGTTACGAGTACGCAGTTCACATAAATACTCCTTCATATAAAGGCTCTGCTGACTATTATTGGAATAAACAACAATTTGATAAGTCACTTAAGCTATACAGGGTTATTAAGCAAGACAGTGAGGCTCATGTGGTCCGATTTGAAAGATCTCCTGAACGTGATCATGTCTTGGTTCCACTATACGGTTATGTTGTTTTCCAAGAAACCTCATCTCTTCCTTCCTGGGGGATTGTCTCGGGAGTGAGCAGACAATGCAGGATTATGGCGGAAGAAAACACTCAGGAGATTTACTTAAGCATTAGTTACCCCGACCTGAATTTCCCTGGCTCAAAAGTCTTGCGAACCTCCGACGATATCAAAGCTCGGGAAATGTTTCGAATAGAAAGCGATGAGATCCAAGTTGAAGTCACCTTGGCACGCATTGTGAGCACAACTCTTCCAGAACTACCCAAGGTACATGGTTCTCCAACTAATTACGAGCCAAGGGTTCGAGTGATTAGAACAGTTACTGAGAAACCGAGCCGAGGAAACAAACTAGTCTTTGCCAATCTGAAGAACGGATTCAGCGTGGAAGTTAAACTGACCAAAATAAATTGTTGACTTCTTAACGGATTCTTAATGTGTTTATTTGATTGCGATTATAATTATCATCAGGAAATATTTGTACTACGTAATGTAGATTAAAGGATTCTTCGTGCTTTGTGTTGTACCTGTTGGTTTGGTTGTTTCCCATGAATCTGTTTCAAAATATTCGAGCGAGGATATTTTTTTTAATGAGAATATGAACATGACCAGTGTACAAAACAAATGTCGTGAAATTAACGCACGTGGGTTTCTTGAAAATAGGATCTGTATTAGCATCATATCTAAACTCGTTTATTATCCTGACTTTACTTTTTTGCAAAATTGCAATTATTTTCAGGTTTTTTCAGTTTATGGCTTGATCCAGACTCTAGATCAAATTGGTAAAAACTAGGGCACGATTAGCCTTCTGATTGGTTGAAGGGGGCCAGGTTATGAGCTTGTAACTCAGCTCCGACAAATGTGGTCAATGAATTCGTCAGCGAAGACGAGAAAGAAAAGTTTCTGTGGGCCTCGAGGCAATGGCAGACCCTAAAAGGACCCTAAAAATCGAATCTTAAAAGGTTTCGGGACTTTTGACAAACACGCCCCTGGACTCTTACCTGTAACTTGTTAAATCTCTTTTTGTTTTCTCAATTTTATCCTCTCTTGGCAATCTTTTAAACAATGACGAGCTACGTAAAAGGCACTTTCGACTCAAATGATAAAAATTTGTTGGTAACCAGAAGACCAGCTTTATGTAATCTAACCTTGGGACGTTTAAGTGCGTGTGCAGCCAGGATACTAAATTTATTTTCCAATATGGCAGCGTCCTTATTCTAGTTTTGGGCATATCTAAAGACAATTTTGGAGTGATTATAGATTTCTTTTGGGAAATCATTTTTTAAACATCCTACTAACGAAGAAAAAAAATGCTGGAGGATTTCATTCAGACTCAATAAATTTTTACGGAAAGGGCAGGCTGCTTTTTTTTGTTCTAACCCGTCAATTATTAAGACTTCTGCCCTCAAGCTTGGGTATGTCAAGGTAAAGGTCAATAAAAAACTCCTAAAAATTTCTAGAAAGCTTTCATGTAGAATACATAATTGCTAAACTTATCTTCTCGGCTGATATACAGGCCCTGTTTTAAATCTCATGCAGTCTATAAGAGATAAGAGAGTTTAAGGTGGAATGGTCTTTCAGTGGCAGGCTGTGGTTATAGCCACAGAAAAAATGTAGAGAGGGATATTTGTGTTAGAGAAAATAATTGAGGTTTTATCTCATAAGTCAAAATTTCTGCTTTGAAAAGCAGGTTGCTCGTTTAATTTGGACTATGCTAGCTAGCTATATTGTACTTTTGAGGTCAGTAGGCTAATTCGAATACCACGCGCAAACAGGAAGCACCAGGAGTCTGATTAAGGCCCTAGCAAATGGCTTCAACATTTGCTTCAACATCCGTTTAAAGGCTTTTAAACTCGTTCAACATCGTTTCAACTTCGCTTCAACACGTTTCAACATGGCGGAAAGGGGGTGGCAAACGCTTTCAACATTGCTATTCAACAAAATCGAAAGGATGTTGAAGCCGTTTGCTGGGGCCTTTAGGAATAGTTAATTTCCATCTCAAAGGCACTGTCTCTTTTCTCTTCTCAAAATTCATCCCTCAGCACATGTTCTTAAATACCCTATCAGTGGGTATGTTTGGGCTTACTGGACAACTGACCTTGGCAGAGTATATATATATCTTTTAAGAACAATAACCAAAACAGTCTCACAAGACATTCGAGATGAACAACAAAATACTTGGAAAACAACCAATCTTCGCGAACTAAAACCTGAACAAAACTTCCTGTTGAGGACTCAGAGCAAGGTTAAGGACAAACGTAAACACGTCTAGCAATGACGATTATCGTACGAGAATTAAGCCATAATACAACGGTCAAGAACACATCACTCAAAGGGGTAAATAAATGTGTGGTCTTGCAGCACGTAACAAACCAAAGCTCACAAGACTGACATAAGGATTTCAAAATAATCTAACAGGTCTAAATAATTCCCAAACATTTAGCCAGAAGATTCCCAATTTTAGTAGTTCCCAAAATCCTCTAATTTTAGTAGTTCATTATATCTGTCACTTTTTCGCTAATCGTGCATTGTTGTTTTGATGTCCTTCTCCTTAGCAATGAATAAGATTTGGCGGCGCCCGTATCATAGATCTGAGCACATTGAAAGACAATTTTGGAGCGGTCAGATCACTCTTTGGAAATCATATTCATAATATCCTTCTTATGAAAAAAACAAATGGTAGTCGATCTTACTTGTACTAGAAATATTTTTGGTAGCAAAGGAGGGTTGTTTTTTAACCCTGTCAATTGTTTGGATTTGGAACATAGTTTTCTGCCCTCGAGCTCGGGTATCATATTGTTTTCATGATACGACTTTCTAATCAATAAAGAAGATTCCAAAAAGTCTCATAAGTTACCAAAAGCGTTATATGACTTTCACAGAGTTGTTCTCTACCGTTCTAAAAATGTTATTTATAGAAAGATTCAGATGATAGACATTGTAAAGCAAGCATGGGACATTTATATGCGATTCATCCAAGAGGATTGAATCCCATACACCCTCGAATTTCGAAATCCTGCATGCAAGAGTCCTACCATGCTGTTGTGATGATTCGATTTGAGTAAAAGTCACTGAATCTAATATATATGTCAAGGAAAAAGAGAAAAAAAACTCTAAACAATTTTTTAGAAAACTGCAATGAAGATTATGTCTTAGCGAAACTCATATTCTCGGCTGATATGCAGGCCCTGTCTTTATCTAATGCGGTTTCCGGCATTAATTACATTTTCACAGACATGAAAAGCGGTTGTTAGTTCAGGAGAGGTCGTTATATTTAAAGTGGAAATTTTTCTTGTACTATTTTATCAATGGCAGACAGAGATTCTAGCCACAGAAAAATGGTAAAGGGAGAAATTTATGTCAGTGAAAGGAAGTAACGTAATATCTCATTCATTAGTCACAATTTCTGCCGTGAAAAGCGGATTGTTCGTTTAACCTGGAGTTTGCTGGTTAGCTTTCACTTTTTTTGCTAACCGTTCATTGTTGTATTGCTGTCATCCTCCTTATAAATAAAAAAAGAAGGTATTAGTGATGAGCCACCTTAAGAAAATTTCATCAAACCCGCCTATAGTCAAATTTGTCTATCGTCGTAAGCTTTATCTTAAAAAGAACTTGAAAGAGTAAAACGTTGTGAAAAGGTTCTTAGTTAATGAATTTACGTAAAAGTAGTTAGTTGTCAATTTTTCCAGATCGTTATGGTCAATCTGTGACGTAATTCTTGCTTTCGCGCTCTACGATTCCTTTGACAAACCGTCCGGTAAAAGCAGATTCAGGAATAGATTTATTTTTGTCATCTCACTCTTAGCCTGAGCTCTCTTGTATCAGAAACAGGACATCATTTCATAAACAAGGCAAACATCTTCCAAGCACTTCAATAATTTTCTCTGCTGTCATACTCTACTGGTTTCATTTAAGTCCACCCTACAGTCGTGTTAAAGCAGATTAAAAGATTAGTAAAAAAATGTCATCTCGCTCACTCATAACCTCTGCTCTCTGATGTAAGAAGCAGGTTTTTGATTCATAACCTTATCTCTCTCGTGCACTTCGACCGTAAATATCTGCTGTCATCCCCTCATGATTCAATTGTCTCGCAGGAGATTTAGTAATAAGTTGCTACACAGCCAATCAGAGCACGACCAGATTGCCATCACCAGACTGCTCAACAATTTCCACGGAATGATAGTTTGCTTTAAATAGAGCTCAACTTAGAAGGTAGGGAAGGACGACAAACGGAGGGTTCCGCTCTGTCATTACAGGTAAGTTCAGTACGTAGTTTGTTGCTTGGCGGTTTTTTGAAGTGGTTAACTGTTGGATTTACTCTGTCGAAATCAGATTTCGGCCATAACAATATCAAAGAAAAGGAAAAAGATCAGGAAAAAACACTGCCTTCGGCAAAGGTGCGTGGAAATATTTTATTGTAGACTATTCCTTCCGTGCTGTTTATTCATGATTTTTGGTAACATACCCATGAGTGTTCTTTCGATTTTCATCGTATTTGGGTGAAAATGCCTGGTAAGTTTCTCCTCTTCATAAACTGTCCTAGATTTTGTCGATGAACAACCTTTCAACTGAGTCATTATCCTATTGTGAGATTAGACGCCAGAAGAGGTTTATGCCAAGTAAAATGTTAACTTCCTTTGTTGGGTAGGCCTTGATTTGGGAATTTTGTCCCAGGAACCCACTTTTATTACCTTACACGAGCCTCCTTGGTAGCGTATCCGAGGAACTAGTCTCTCTAATCTTCCTCATCTTATCATTTTCCGTTTTGAGGCATGTCTGGAAGAGGAGGTTTTTGTCTTTTTTTGACTGGGCTTGCACTCTTGTTGGTGGAGTTTACATCGGCTCAAGACGGTAGGTTATTCGTTAGTAAGAGCTAACGACCTGTATCTTACATTTCTGATGTGTCAGTCGTCAAGATCTTACAGAGATCACTATTTCCCTTTAGAAATGATCACTCAAACAATTCATATATATCTTCCACTAAGGCCATTATTTTTTAGGTTTAAAGTATGCTTTGAATTCATTTGCTGTTTCCAGACTAAAAAAATTTCTCTCCGTTTACCCATCTCGTAGAGGAGAAATTTGTTGCATTTTCAAATTCCAGTGTACTCCAAGCCTAAATTTCAGAAGGTTATTGAAAAAAACACTTTGGTCAACGCTCTAATTTCAACCCTTACGTCACTAAAGATTATAAACTTGTTTGCATTGTTGCAGTCGTTTCTTTAGAGTAGTATCCTCTCATCATAATTTTGTTTGGCATTTATTGCAGATTGTCAGCAACTATTAGACTTCGAAGGGGATTCACAGGAAAATTGCCTGGTACGTTCACCAGAAAACAGAGGGACAATAACATTCTCAACGTCGGTAGCTAAGCTCGGCTCAAGGTCACTGAGATGGGAATCTGGCACCACAGGGAAATCGAAGTTGAGGTACACCAGGCCCCGATCTGCCCGCATCAGAGGAAGTGAACTAAGCCGAGGAGGTGTGAAGATGTGGATCTACAAAGAGACTCCCTCACCCGGAAGGAGCATGCAAGTTAGATTTAGAGATACTGCTCGGAACAACCAAGTTGGATCATTTGATATTAAATTGGGATTTAAGGGATGGCGAGGAATATGGGTGTCCTATGGAGAATGCAAACGTTACTCTCATAGCCTCGACTCCCCCGCTGCAATTTATAGAGTCGATTTTGTTTTGGGACATCATGACACAGTTCATATCGATATGCTTGAATTCGTGGGAGGAATGTCGATGCAGTCTCGCGATAAAATAGTTCCACCTTTCACAAGATTCGGCTCACGATACGACTCGAGCAACTTCTGGCAGCAAAGCTACCGTTGGAGTCAGCGAGCTCCGACTGCCCTTCCGGAAACGGTGGTTGCTTCAAAGTCCTTGAGTCTCACTCACACCGAAAGTCGCTTGAAAAACTGGTATTGCGATGAGAGGGAAACCACCTATGACTTCTCTGGAGAAGCCAAGAAGCGTTGGGATAAACTGGTGAGGAGCATTGACGCTGCATATCTGGAATACGATAGACTTTTATTTAGGACGCTAGACTCAGGGAAGAAAGTCATAGCCGGGCCTCCTTTGTTTTGTCGTGGTTGTGACAGGGGAACACGAGCGTATTCCAAGAAAGATCCAACAAGAAAGTTCAGCTTCGTCCAAATGCGTATCATTCTTCCTTTGGCGATAGAGTTTTATCTTAAATCCCGCGCCGAAGAAGTTTCCCGAACTGTGAAAGAAGAAACTCCTGAACTAAGTTCTACTAACAAAGTCGATGTGGACAGTGCCATTGAAAGGATTTGTGGAAAAGACGCAAACAGGCAGAAAGAGTTCCGCGATTACCTTGAAAGTTTGACGAAACCTTACACAAAGGACCAAATACGCAAAATATTGAATGACGAAAATAAAAAACGCCTTGAGAGAATAATCAAACTGCTTGACTACATTGAAGACCAAGGATGGGCTGATGGAAGTGCAATAGGCTCCCTGGATCATGAAATGAACCGTGGTGGTGCTGGGTACATGCACACTCTTTTCTTGCTGAAAGACACTTTGCACGGGGACGCTAAATACAGATCAAGACTTTTAAACCTAATAAACGCTGCCAAGTGGTTCAATGATTTTGGTGAAGTTTACCAATCGACGTTCGAGTTTAGCGGAACTACGGCTGACAGAATGATTACAATAATGTTGTTTCGGCTCATGATTGTGTTGATAATGCCTGCTAAGTCGGATATGGAAATAAAGGAAAGGCAGAGGGATATGGATGCTTTGAAAAGGTGGATGGATAACGCCCTGAGTATTAACAAAGCCTTCGGTGGAGTCATTAAACCTGATTATACTGGCTTTCATCACAAGACATTCTACGCATCTGCGTATGCCCCACACGCATATCATACAGCTGCGCAAGTACAATACCTCCTGGAAGGAACAGATTTTGCTCTGTCAGATGAGTCGAAACGAAATTTACTGGAAGCCCTTGAAACAATGAGGCTAGTAGCAGTTAAGTATTCAACACCAAACAGTGTCGGAGGACGCATTGTAGACTATTCTAAAAAGATTTTGGTAAAAATTCTCCCAGCATACGCTTACATCAGTGTTTCTCATCCATCTGGGCCACTGGCATCAACCCCAGCCAAAGAAGTCACAGTTCCTGCTGTTAGGAACGTTGGAATGTTTTTACGTTTGTACCAGCCCACCGACGAATCTATTAAAATGTATTTGGAAGATGGAACGGTTAGCAGGGGAAAATCATATATGAACAGCCTTGGATCACTGAAAATTATGTCGACCGTAAGTTTGTTAACTGAACCGTGCTGAATTTTTATGAATTTTAATCAGATTTTTGTCAAGTGGAACGAAATATATTCCTATAAGGAAAACAGCAAAAAGGTTTTGGACACGTTAAACCCTTTTGGGAACCCCGTGACTGTGCTCATTGAAAAAGAGAATTTTTAGAGAAACCCGCAATTCCAATGTGAGACTTCGTCGAAATTGGGCTTTAAATAAAAAGCTTATTTTGTTTGTGCCTGCGTAACAATGCAATAATAATTATGTTGCTGCCTAACGTCCTGAAATTCGCACAATACACCAGTTTGCTGTTACTTGTATCCTTCCTTTATACAATAAAACATTGCACTGCAACCCTTTAAAAAAAGGACGAGGGACCAAAATTCTTAAAAAAAAAAACCTTAAGGAAGAGTGTTAAGATAATTTTATTCGAGAAATGTAAAGTCCTGCCCTTTTATAATTCTGTAACAACTATGGTGTTTGTTTCTTGTATTTATATAATTTTACCAATTGCTTGGTGCAGTCTAATGTATTTAATTTGGGCAACTTTGCTGATTTTATTATGTTTTCTCGAACATAGGTCTTTTCTAAAGGTACATCTCCTGAGCCCTCCCCTGAAGGTCACTGGTCCAAGAACTTTGCTGCTCTCTCAATTCATCGTCGTAAAGACTGGGCAGTGACGATAAAAGGCTTTAACCGGTTTGTCTGGGACTTTGAGGGATCTACAAAGATTAAAAAACCTGAAAATGTTTATGGTACCTATCAGAGTCATGGTTCAATGTTGATAGC